GTAATGTAATTATATAGTTCATAAAATTCGAAAAGTACAGTTAACTAAAAACGTATTAAACATAAAGTTGACATTAGGACCTATTANTGGAGATTCGAGCACTTGTGTATGAACTTCCAGCATATTATACTGGACCGGTATACTTTGCTGGAACTCCAGTATATTATGCTGGAGTTCTAGTGTACTTATGCTAGAACTCCAGCATACTTATCTCGGAACTCCAGTATAACATGCTGGAGTTCAAGTATACTTATGCTGGAACTCCAGCATAATATACTGGCGTATTTTTCGGGTTTTGAACAGTGTTTTCGCTCAGATTTATCTTTACATGAAAAGTGGCTAAATTTCAATTACTTTTGAAACTGGGCTATTTTTGAACGACCACTTGTAAATATGACTATTTTTTAATTTCTCCCAAATTTAATCGCAACTAAAGTTTTTTCGGAATTGGCCATGAAAATTTCAAATTTCACTTGAAGTTAAATTTCAGAATTTTTCGAAAATTTGAAAAACTTCAAAACTTATTTTTCAAAAAAAATTCACTTCAAATCACTCACAAAAATTCAAAAACAGTTTCAAATTGTATTCATGTCCAAACACAACTCTAATTTTCAAATATTATTTTCATTTGAAAATTTACTTTTTTTTCGAAAGATCACAATTCTTATGTCCAAACGCCCACTTAAAACAGTAAAACCTTACGGTCAACAGGAATGAAACTTAGGTACAAAATAGAAGATACACTTGCTCTGCAGTTTGACAAAAGAGTAAGAAAAAATGGAAAGTGCATTAAATTATTGTAGAAAAGTATAAAGAAAACAGTATAAAAATTGGCCTCCAATAAAAGCCAAGAGTCGATGACCTCTCCAAAAAAAAATTCAACTTAACGTGCCGCCACAGTTAATTACATGTCAGTACTGTGCAAAATGCCAACGTCTAATTGTCAATTCTAACAGCTAAAATGAAGATGATTTGTTTAATTATAAGGGTCTATTAGTATTAAAGAAATCCTGAAGCTAGACAACTTGCACACTAAACCAGAATAAATTATAAGTTTCACAAGTCACGAGCAGTATTTTTAAGGCAAGTTGCAAGAACGACTCCTCATTACCTACGGATGTAAGTAGTCTTATAAAATCTGTTATTTTTTAAAATATTTTAAAACAAAAATAAGATGTGAAAAATGTGGATATAGTATACTTTTGCCTTCCCATTAACATTGTTTGATCAAGTACGAAATTCAAGAAAGAAATAAATGTTTTTGAACTTTATGATCTAAAATAAACCATAGACACTTTGTGTGACAACGAAAAATAATCTCATTAAGGGAAAAATAATTTTTTATAAATTAAATTATTTTTAAATATAAAAGATGACATTCTTTTTTGTACAAACTAAAAAGAAAATTGTGCTAACATAAATTGGGACATAAGAAGTATAATAGTCGCAGTAAGTTCAAAACAAGAACCGCCCAAAATTTGGATAAGTAATATCTTGCATAATTATAAGTACGTGAAATATTTTTTGTCACTAAAATTTGGGATAGAAAGCAATACTAAATTTTACTTAAGAGCTTAAAGAAGAATTTAAATGAAAAAATATGTTTTGGGGTGCATGGAACAGATATCCCAAAGATGAATGTATAGCCTATTACCATCAAAGGATATGGTGCAACGGACGAGGCTGTTCTTTTCTTAACCAGAGGTTTCCGGTTTGAGCCTTAGATACGGAAAAATTCTTAGTAGAAAGAGCTTCCCCCTAATGGAGCCCTACGCGATGCGGATCCCGATATAATCTGGCTCCAGTACGGATACCGGACACCGGGTGAGAACCAAAATAAAAAGAATGTATATATAGCCTACTAAGAATATTTCGAGAATTGATAGAATGCCTTACATTGGGTGCCAAAAAAAAAAATGCCTTACATTGAATCGACTCCAAAGGAAGTCCCATATAAAATATTGGTGAGACCAACTTTAAAAATAAATAATTAATTATTTGAAAACAAATATATATAAATAAAAGAACGTGAAGTAAAAGTAAAGAAAATCTTGACAAGTGAGTGTAACCAGGTTTGAACTGTAAACTGCTAGCTGGTCTTACACTTCGACTTTAGGCCTATTTTGCGTATATTTTATTTGGACAAATTAGGATATATAGCTGCAAGAAAAACATACACTATTTTTTAGTCAATATTATGATGAATTCAAGAATCAACAGTAATAGATTCTATATTCTTTCTTTGCACATAATTCTTGTACTTGCCTCGAGCTGATCCTTTGGTTAGGTAAGTGTGTAATGTACTAAAAATACTGAACTTGATGCATTATCAAAATTTTCAAATTGCAATATAATTGGAATCTTTTTTCTTCCACCTATAAGTGGAAATCTTTAAGGGAAATATGACGGCTTCAACTCTTTGAATGAATCAGCAATAAAGTATATAAGTCCTTATACATTTTTCATTCTATAATATAAACAATAAGAAATAAACTTGAATCATGTCTAACATTTAGAGTTTTCTCCACCCGAGAAGTCTATTAATTATCTCATAGATTCGTTTTTTGGGAAAATGACAACACTGTTCAAAATCCGGAAACTACTCCAGCATAATATACTGGAATTCCAGTATACTCCAATATATTATACTAGAGTTCCAGCATAAATATACTGAAACTCCAGTATTATATATTGGAGTTCTAGTATAATATACCGGTCCAGCATAATATGCTGGAAGTTCATACACAGGTGCTCCAATCTCCAGTATATTATGCTGGAACTTTTCGCATGTTGAAGTTCCGGCATAATATGCTGGAAGTTCATACACAGGTGTACCGATCTCTAGTATATTATGCTGAAACTTTCCGCATGTTGAAGGTGCAGCATAATATGCTGGAAGTTCATACATAGGTGCACTGATCTCCAGTATATTATGCTGGAACTTTTCGTGTTGCAGCAAAATAGTGACTATTTTTCAGTGACTTTGCAAATGCTATCTATTTTTGAATAACCATTCCAAATATTGGCTAGCCCGTGCTATTTTTACCGCGAGCTAAAAGTGATAATACCCCTTTAATTTTAACAAATGAAACGTTAGCCCACGGGCCAGCACACAGCCTTCTTAGAGAAGTCCTTTCAAATGAAAAGATGGGTTGGGCTGTTAAATTCACCAGCCCACTAAATATCATGATATATTTAAAGTCAGAAGTATAGAAAATTTATTTTTTAATTACGCCAATCAAATATATTCACATAAACTAAAACCGAGGGAACACAGTGTAACTTATGATATGAAATGACTAGGCTTGTAAGTTACTAGTATTGATCAATCCATTCAAAAAATGAATGACATTGTTTATTCAGGAATAAGTTCAATGATCTTTAATTTGAACAATCTTTTTAAACATTTTCTGATAAGTTTAACCACACATTCTGATCAATAAAACTTTAGTTAAATGTCAACTTTTGTTACAAATTTTTAAAGACAATATCTACATTCTAATTCGGAAATTAAATAAATTAAAATATTATTTTCCTAAAACAACACAGTGTTAGAAGATAGGAAAGGGTGTGACATAGTGGTTAATAAAGTAATTTGAGAAGCATGAATTCTTATGTTCAAATTTCAATAAAGCCAAAAGTACTAGGTGCTTTCTTTTTATCTATTTGAGACATTGCAAATAGAGTTACCCGATACATAAGAGAGGTAACAAAAAAAAGAAAAAGAAAAAAATAAGGACCGAGAAAAATATCGGAAAAATGACATTGTATATCCACTTTTTAAAAATAGTCGAAAAATATAATATATATATATATATACACAGACACTCTGTATGATATATATATAAAAATTATACAAATTTTATATATTTTTACGGCTACCAAATATAAATAGTTTTCGGCGCGGGCTAAAAATGAAAAAAAACAAAAACAAAAATATCTATTGGAAAGAGGCTGCATCCGGACTCGGATCGAAGTGTCAAAACGATCAAATGCGTACGCGTTGTAGCGTCAACAATACCGAGTGACTACTGACTAACTTCCCATTTTCCTTTGACTTTCTATCACATCTTATCTTGGTTATCAGTTACTCTTGTCCAGGTGTGGCGGTAGCTTTTAACATATGAGTTGGACAAAATTCATTAGTTTTACTCAAACATGTTAGAAATTTATTAAAAGTTAAATTCAAAACTCAATTACTAACACTTTAGCTCATTTACAAAAAGTCAGGATATATAAAGTTCAAATCCTTCACTTCGCCCCCGCTGTTATCTTTTCGGTCCCTGATTTGGACAATTCGACTTGGAGCCCGTTTGAATTGGCTTGTTTTAAGTGCTTTTAAGCTAAAATAGCTTTTAAGTCATTTGTGTTTTGATAAAGTAAAAAAGTGCATGTGATGTAAATTTGAAAATCTGGTTCAAATAAAAAATTTCTTTCGACCAAAAAAAAAAAGAAGTGCTTTTAAACTTGATTTTAAACTAAAATGACAAAAACAAGCCAAAAGCCAAAAGTTAAAATTCCTAACTTATGGCTTAAAAGCTATTTCAGCTTAAAAGTCACTTAAAATAAGCCCATCCAAACGGGCTCTTGGTCATATTTATATTTTATCTCACCTTTAAGCGGCATTTTTCTGTCAATTTGACATAAGAAATTTAGCACGTAGTAAATATTATATTCAGTGTTATTTTTCAACGTCAAAGTAATTTTAAGTTAATTCAATTCATTTTAATCTTAAAAATAGTCAAATTGAAAACTCATAATTATTAAAGTAACGTCTGAATGGCAGTTGATAACATTGTTATTTATAACCAAAGATTGTGGTGAATAAATAGAACCATTTCACCCTTAGCCAGTCTGGATGGTTTTTCTCATTAAAAATTTTTAAGTGCCACGAATCTGGATTAGTTGGATCGCTTTAAAGGGTATCCGAACAAAGGGAGAGAAACCAGATTTTTTGTTACTCGTAGTGTGAACGAGTTGGTCAATTTAGCTTTAGCATATGTAAATTATGCTCCCAATTATTTACTTTAATGTATGCATGCGTCTTTAACAATATTGTATGTGAAGTTCCTTGGTTGGCGGCAATCAAAATCACCAGGTGATTTCTCTTAGTTTTTCAGGCCCCACATGTAAGTCATTTCCCGTACAAAATCCAAATCTATTCTAGTAAGTACATTTATGATACAATCTGCATATAATAACAAGAAATATTCAGTATTCAGTAGCCCAAATTTGTTAAAACTAAATGGGCATTCAAGACACCTTAGTCCATTTTGATTTATTTAATTTGTTCCTTTTATCTTTTCCTTTCCAATTCTTGAAATTGCAAATCAGAAGCTATGAGCAATGCTCCCTCCACCAGAATAAGAAGACTCGCCATTGAAATCCATCATCCTCAAGCAATCTTGAATTTCATTGTCCGATGCCATTAATTGATCCCAGAATTCTTCTTCTTTTTCAATACCAAAATCTGTGTTAATTCCCTGCTGTAACTGTACAGGCACTTGACGTTGTTGCTGGGATATAGAAAATGTAGTACTAGTAGTTGCATTCTGCTGTTGTATTGATGTATAATCACCAAATGAGAAATTAAGCTTAGCTCTAGGACCTCTAAATTCAATAGCAGCTTTATCATAAGCTCGAGCTGCATCCTCTGCTGTATTAAAAGTCCCAAGCCATACTCTAGCTGCCCTTCTTGGATCTCTAATTTCTGCAGCCCATTTTCCCCACGGTCTCTGTCTCACCCCTCTGTAATTCTTCTTCTTTTTCTTGAAAACTACAGTCTTTGCCTTCTTGTTATAATCCTCATCAGCAACTGGGCTGGCTCCAAAATAGTTGCAACCTATACACCCTTTTATTTTACAGAATTGACATGGCTCTGGTTCTGTTGGAACGCGAAACAGAGGAGGCTCTATATTTGACATGCTCGTAGAAGGTGAAGACGATGAAACAATGGTGGCACTGTTTGTGGTCATAGCATATTGAGTTGTATCACCTGTTATAACATTTGTTAAAGCAGAAACCATGATAGAAAACTCTTGTTCATCACTGAACTTTGGCTTTGAAATTAGATGGTTGACTGAAACAATTTCCTCTTGTTTAGCTTTCTTGGTTGACCTCTGCATTTTTGAAATTTGAAAAGGTGGAAATTTTAGTCTTTGGGTTTCAGATTGTTTTCTGGTTTTGAACTTCTTTGTTTTATATACGAGGGAATTAGAAAAAGATCAACGTGGATAAGCAAAGTTATAGTAATACACATTTGGTACACGGGTTTGATTTTAGCTGAGCTGGCATATTAAATTAGAAAAAGATCAACGTGGGAATTTAGATGATGAAGTTGACATAATTGGTTTCTAGTGGGTTTGGAGATGAGGTGGCGGTCACACTGGTCGGGTTCCCGGTAATACTTGATGACATGGCAGAGGAGTAAGCGTTCACACGGTAAACTATGACGTAATGCTTTACCGAAGGAGAGGGGTTTGGAATTTTTGGGAGACAAGGCTGGGGACAGTTGACAGTCAAATAAATGTCGCCTTGAAGTTAAAGGACCAAAGTACCACATGGTCCACATCCACCTCGTTTCCGTACTTCTCTTTTGTCTAATTTTTATACTACATAAACATAGTAATGTTTAAGATGTTAAATTTCATTATATTTTATATTAGTGATAGTTGAAGAAAATAATACTACTCCTACCAAGTTTAAAGACCCATCCATACATTGAACCTAGTTTTGCATTGATAACCCTTTAAATTTGTTCCTATTTTTCATTTAAACACTTTCTTTTAAGTCAATTCTATTTGAACACTCCAATTACCTTTGAAATGTGTCATTTAGACACAATGTTGTGACGTGGCATAGTGTATTACACCATATTTCAGAGCGTGAGAGATCAATTTTCTTTTTAAAATTCTTCTCTCTTTCTTTTTTCCTCCTACTCTTTCACAAACCATCACCATCACCTTCCCCCCCCCCCTCCCCCCAATAGTCCACCACCATCCACCTTATTGTTTTAGTTTTCATTGCCGAACTTAATGGAGATTGCCGGAAAAATCTCAAACATGTGTTCAGTGCAATTTGAATAATTGCCATATAAAGTGGCCAAGATAAAGGCTTAAAAACGACTTTGTGTTTTTCTCTCGCTTTCTTTCAGTTAACACACGTTCTCTCTCAAATCACAGCAAGATTTTTCTTTTTTCCTTTCCACGATCTCTCTCTCTCACACACACAGCAAGATTATAGGAACAAATTTCTCAGAATTGATCCTCAACGTTTTTGCTCCCAAAGTTCGTGGTAATTGGTAAAGTTTTTAGCCAGTTCACGCCAAATTACTCTGCCATTCTTCTTTTTCTCTTCACTCTTTTTTTCAGTTTCGCCATTGTTAGGTCTCGAGGAACAAACTTCAAATTTTGTCTTCAATGGTTGATTCAACAACTCCGAAGAAGTTTACACAAGGTATACCCACTAAATCACTCAATTTTGATCGTCGGCGTCTGAATCGCCGACGTCATCATCCACTATTGGCTCATCCTCTTAGGCGAACAGATCTGGCCATGGCTACGCGGGAGAAGATTTGAGGGCCGGATTTTTTGTTCGTCTCCATTTTTAGTTCTAATACAATGTATACAGTATTTTGCTTGGCCGAAAAAAGCCATCTCTGGCGAACTTTCTTCTCTTCTTTGCTATTTTAGTCACATATGATGATACTAATACGTACAAATCCACTCAAATACATTATATTTTTGTATAAATACAATTTTTTGCATGTATTTATGTATTCCGAAGGTCTGTATTTTTTCAATACAGTCGAATTCTGCTATTGTATTCATGAGTACAGTAGCGCGAATACAGTCGCGTAACAACTAAATAATAGCTATAGGAAGTAATTACGTATATAGTAGCTATAAAAAGTTAATAGTCACTAAACAATAGTGGTTTCTGAAAATTCCTCTATTAAACCATCTAATATTCGAAGCTCACTTATTTGACTAATTCAAATTTATGTCGGGTAACCAATTAAGGTAGTAAATCTCTTTCTATCAAAAAGTTCTGTTTATTTCTAATATTTAAATCCGAGACTTTTATTTAAGGTGAAAGGATCTCAACCATCGAACCATACCTCTGTGATAACGTCAAGGCACGTATTAGTATCCAATAACCAAGACACAAAGCGGACTAGGGTCGACATACTAGTTTGTTCATATGGGTAAACTTGATAGCTATTGCTTGACCTCAATATATAGCGGAGCCACATGCAACCTGAGGGATTCAAATTGAATTTTGTTTGGCAGAAAGTTATACTGCGCAAATATAAGATAAAAATAAATTTTTACATATATATAGAATTTAAAATCTCCTTAGCATAAGAGAAAATACATGTTGAAATAAAAAATACAGCATTTTTAATATTTTAGAATCTCCTCACCAGAATTTCTGATTCCATTTCTGCTCGAACTACAATAAATTTTAGCCAAACAAAAAATGTACTCCACTTGTTCGAGTTTGGAGGAGTCGGGTTAAAAATTATATATTCTTTTAGAGAAAATTTCATATTAAAACAAATGGGCTGCCTATTTTTCAACTTTATAGCCCATATTTCAATTTACAATTGAGTAGCCCAAAAATAACAGGCCCATATCCGATAAGAGGGGTGTTATTTCCGTTTTTTGGGATTCAGAAGTAGGATTTTATATCTTTCAGCGGGATTTTCTCTCATTCTTTCCATTCTTCTTACCAAATCTACAAAATCGTGATCTTGCGGTCAATGCAACTCCAAAAACCCTAGAAATTGTTCTTCATCTCGAATTAACAGCGAATCTAACACGAAAAGTGAAATTTTTTTGCTGCAATCAGCGCAATTTTCATTTTTGCTGCAATTTTGATTTCAACTTTTTGTTCGATGGAGCTTTTTTCAGTTTACGTTCTTCATAGTGGTGAATAGGAAGAAAACAAGTTTATCAATTTCGTCAGCGATTGTGTAATAATCGAGTCGACATTCAGCTACAACAATTTAGTTGCAGCTATTTCGGAACAGATTAGAATCGATTGTGAGTTAAACACATTGGAGATTAACTTTCTCTCAAAGGATGATTTGCCACCGATCCTGATTTACAACAATACAGGTGTTAAGGTGTATATCGAATTAAAGAAGAAAAACTTGAATTTCACTGAATACCCGTTGTATGTGACGGTGAAAGAGGTTTATGATAATCGTTTGGTTGGTACAAGTTCCAGTTGTTTGGTTGGTACAAGTTCTAGTTGTTTGGTTGCTACAAGTTCCAATTGTATAGATGTGTCCACAATTGATAGCACTGAGATTATGCCTGATATCGAATTTATTGAAAACACAAAATTTAGTGAAAACACGGGTATAATAGATGATATGTTGAATGAATTTGTTGAGGAAGATCAAGTTTATAAGGATAAAGAGGCAGTTATCAGTGTGATGAAGAATTTGGCTGTACGCGAGAGGTTCCAATTCAAGGTGAAGAGATCTAGCGCAACAAGGTATGACAATAGTTGTATATTCTGTTATATATATGTATAATTATGTATAAAGTAGTATATATCTAGTTATGTTTTTGTATACAAGTGTATTTAGAAGTTGAATGATCTTTAATCCTAGGTATCACCTTGTGTGTGTGGATGACAATTGTGCTTGGAGTTCAAATCTTCTGTCGTTTACAAGGCAAACATATTCAAGGTGAGAAGTTACAATAATAATCACACATGCGGCTATGGTGAAAGATACTTAACACAACGTCAAGCTACTTCAGGTGTAATTGCTAGTATAGTCAAGGACAAGTATGTCAATCCAAAAAGAGTTTACACTGCAAATGATATAATAGAGGACATACAAAAGCAACACGGGATTGAAGTGAGCTACATGAAAGCATGGAGAGCTAAAGAGATAGCAATGGCAATCATAAGAGGGAATCCGAGTGATTCATATAAGGAGTTGCCGAAGTATTTTTATATGTTGGAGCATACAAATCCAGGAACGGTTACAAAGTTGCACAAATTAGAAGATGGATGCTTTCTTTATGCATATGTTTCGCTATATGCATCTATCAAGGGTTGGGAGCATTGCAGACCGATAATGGTTGTTGATGGAAGTTTCCTTAAAGCAACATATAAGGGTACCATATTGACTGCTTACACACAGAATGGAGCTGGTGAGTTGACTGCATCTACCTTGTTTCTGCAGTTTGTATAATGTTGTAGTTTCATGTATAAAAGTGTATAGGATTTCACAGCTGCCGTTTTTATAAAAATTGCAGTTGGTATAAAGTTGTATAATTGTGTATAACTGTGTATAAGATTTATATAATTGCCTGAATCGTAATATCTATTTTGTATAAACAGGAAAAATCCTTCCACTTGCATATGCAATTGTAGATTCAGTGTAACGACCCGGTTAGTCGTTCTAAGAGTTGTAGCCTCGTTCTCTCATTTCTGTTTCTTTATGTGTTGTTCAGCTGTGTTGAGTTGTATTGAGTTGGTAGGTTTGGGTTCGGAGTAGTTTTGGAGTGAAATGATCACTTAGTCTCTTAGTTAGAAAAGTCAATCGAAAGTAGACTTATGAGTAAAAGAATTCGGATTTGGATTTTATGATTCGATTAGCTTCGTTGGATGATTTTAGACTTAGGAGTGTGTCCGGAATATAATTTGGAGGTCCGTGGTAGAATTAGGCTTGAATTGACAAAAGTTGGAAGTTTAGAATTTCTTAGGCTTGAATTCGAGGTTGATTTAGTATTTTGGTGTTTCGGAGGTTTGACTAAGTTCGGGTAGTGATATATGACTTGTTGGAATTGTTGGTTAAGGTCCCGAAGGCCTCGGGTGAGTTTCGGATAGGTTTGGGTTGTGTTGCGTTCGTTTTTCTTATGTTTCGACGCCGTTTTTTCAAGCATAAATGATATCATATTGAACAAATGAGCTCCGATTTCTTTTGTGATTGAAGAATTAGATCCGTATTATAATTACAGACCTATAGCAAAAAGAATCTTCGAATTTGGACATCGTATGAGGATTTTATGGTCATTTTACTAAGATTTAGGTTGCCAGATTTTTCAGGTTAATTACGAAATTGCCACTAGCAGCGTAATTAAAAATCTACACTATTTGCAAATATTAAAACCTACCTATCTCATTCGAGATAAGGTCAAATTGAGTGATTCAAAAGCCTAACTTGACTAGAATTTCACAAGGAATCCATTGGAGGAATAAAATACGAGTTTCGGGATTGTTTGGCTCGAGAAACGAGGCAGAATAGCTGGTAGAAAAATATACAAAACTAGGGTTTGTTCATTCAGTCATATTTTGAGTTGGGGAGCTCGGATTTGGGCGATTTTGGAGGCGATTTTCACCATATGGATTGGGGTAAGTGTTCTCTACTCGATTTTAATTATAATTTATGAATCCATCTTCGTTTTTGGGATTTGATTGATGATTTCAAAGTGAAATTGAGGGAGCTAGGGTTTGAGTATTAGAGAGTTTTAAGTGAGGATTTGAGGGACCAAACGGAGTCCGATTTTGACAAATTTTATATAGATAGACTCGGGAGAGGACGAGGATTATTATTCTGCCATTTTTGACTGACTCCGAGACGTGGGCCCGGGGGCCGAGTTTTGGCCGATTTCGGATTTTTGGCATGTTTTTGTTATTTTTATTGTGTAATTCAATTCTTTAGACTATGTTGATAGTAGTATTCTAATTATGGTTAGATTCGAAGCTTTTGGAGATCGAGACGAGGGACGAGGGCATTACGGAGTAGAATTTTGCGCTGTTGAGGTAAGTAACAGTTTTAACTCTGGCTTTGAGGGTATAAACCCGGAGAAATTGATATCATGTGATTGTTTGGTGGTGATACCCACGCTAGGTGACGGGCGTCTGGGTGTGCAACGTGAGGGATTGAGACTTGGTCCGTCCCGTGAGGCTGTGAGGCCTAATGGCTATTATCTGTAGTTATGTGTTTACTTGTTGTTGAACTTGTTTGCCTTCATGTTAGAGATCATGTTCAGGCTTTATTCATGCTCACTATATTTGTACTCAGTCATAGAAATTATTTTACATGTTTATCTCACTCTCTATTATTTGGTAATATGCTGTGATACTTGATGTGAGATGTGTTCCCTTATTTGTTGATGATGGTAACGCTNAGATGTGGTCCTACCACCTAAAGGGAGAAGGAATGCAGGAAGGCCAATAAAGGAAAGACTCAAACCTGCTTCAGAGAAAGAGTCTAAGAGGGCATTTTCATGTTCCGTGTGTGGACAAAGTGGTCACAATAGAAAAACATGTAGGAATCGACCAAAATAAATAGTTGGAAACATAACACTTCCTATTACATATGTTGTCATGTTGAGTAGTTAAGTTTCGCAAACAATAAAGTTACAAATGTTGAGTAGTTAAGTTTCACAAGCAATTGAGTTACAAATGTCAATAAAGAATTACAATTTACACTATATATTGCAATTATGTTAAATATGTTTCATTATACATGTTTTGATTATCCAATAATAATGTGTTGATGTTTTTAATGGTGCTAAATATATTGATAGATTGTACAAATGCAAAACAGAACTGCAAACAATCAATGGTATTATATGTATGCAGATGTATAAATGAGAGTATAAGTTTGTATAAAATTATATAACTATGTATATTATTGTATACATATGTATAAACCCTGCAACATTAACAAAACTGCAACCATAATGAAAATACATACTTTGTTAAAGGACAAAAGCAACTGAAATATTCATTAAAATGTAATTCATTCACAGCTACAATGTGTAATGACTACCACAAATTACACAAAAATAAAAATATCTATAATATCCGTTAAGGTTATCTCACAAGTAGCAGAATAGTACTTAGACAAAACTAGGCAACAACTCCTGATACATAGCAAAACTATATTAAAATGGAAAAAACAGAACTACTTTCTCGGTCGTCCCCTCTTCCTCTTCCTGAAAAGTCTCCCTGTGATTTCATCACCACTAATTGCACCGGACTGTTGTTTTTTCCTTCCATAATCCCACAACAGAGATCCCCACATGGTGCGAAGTGTCTCAATGTCAAAATTATCTTTTCGAATTTCCTTACCAAGGATGAAATACTCAGCAAAGCCAACAACAAAAGCACCACAATCACTGTAATTAAAAAAAATTAAATTCTCTGTACGTTACTGTAAATAGGTACACTAATAGTAAAATAGTAAAACAATTGAGATTAACCTACCATTTGATCTGTTGTGGCACATTATTAACCAGATTAATCTGCAAAGCATCAGAATGGGATTTATCGGTATATGCACCATTGTTCCAATCAATGCCCTTCTTCTCGACATAAAAATCAGAACTCTTCAAGAAGTAAGGTATCAAATTTGCATAAGGTAATGCAGGATCCAAAGCAAGTCTATCATTAATAGCTCCACGGTTAGAGTCATAGATGTGGATGCACCTATCTATGAATGTAAACAACCCCAAAACCCAATGGCCCAATTTTGCTCTTCCGCACTTCACATAGATAGGGAATAAGACGTGGTCAACAGTGTGCCACGGTACATTTGCATCACAATAATATCCTCTAATGTACTCTTCTATCTCATGCCCTTCAGGAATCACTGAAGGATCTTGATTCACTTTGAAATCTTTATACAGGGAGTTGATTTTGTTACCAAAGGCAAAGTCGGTTGTAGTAAACCGCATGGCAACATTCGGCCCATATTTTCCCCTCTTCCTCAAATAATAAAAGAGGACATCCAAGTGCTGAGACAAGAAATAAAACAAAACAACCATCACTACTAAATTTTTTAAATATACAAATTTATACGCTATTATACAAAGTTATACATATTTATACAAGGTTATACAATCTTATACTGTGATTATACAAAGTTATGTATACACTATGGGGGTCTCAAACAATAAAGATACCCAATAAATAAAAAGGCATTAGAACAAAAAGTTATTAAATACCGTGTCAATCAAAGGTCGACCACAATACGCAAGTGAGTGGAACCAGTCCTTTGTGGTCACATGACACGAGCCAAAAGTAAAAGCTTCCGCAAGCTTATTTACTTCATCGGTATAAATATTTTTGGCACTTCAAATCACAAAAAATAAAAAGTAATCAGAACTACCTTCATTGACAAGTATAAAATCAAAACATGAAAGCTTAAAGAAAGTTAAGATACTTTCGCCTCGTATCCATCCCATTATCAACAAGCGCACAAAACTCTTTGGCCAATGGCGACAAGGGATCAAAATCATCAATTTCGATCGTGAAAGGATGCTTGATATAAAAAATGAGCTTGTGTGCAGATCCTGATGCCCCCGAATAAAAAACTGGCAAATATGGAGATTTGGCATATTTTCCTGGTATTTTCTGTCGAACCGACTGTTCAGGAGAAATGTAATCCTCTTCTACGTCTATGATGGATGGTCTATGAAGCACAATGTGGGACATTTGTAGCGCATCTAAATCTTCATCGCCAATGTCATCCCAAAATGTATCACCCTTGACATCACCTGCCGCCCCTTAGACAAAGAAAACCAATAATAAAAAACTTTCAAAATGAAGAAAAGAAAAATCAAACAAAAGAAGATAAAATGCAGAATGAATACCACATCAACACCATCAGTAACTCCCTCGTTTGTTCTGACACCTAAATCTGTTTGGTCAGCTAGCGTATTATCTTGATTCACTTGATCGACAAAGTCAGGAACAACATCGTATTGATAGCCATCAAATTCGCCAAGACCAGATGTATTGTCATCAGACACGCACTGACGAATCTAATAAAAAATAATAGAATGAGAAGGCATAACTGTTGAGTGATGATTCAGAGAAGGCATAACTGTTGAGTGATTTGGTTTTATCAGTAAATTACCTTAGAATCAGGAACCTCCTCCCTCGTTTGCTTGGTTTCCTTCATATTCAGAAAACTGAACACTTTTTCAAATGAAGAAACTACATAACTGTTGAGTGTCGTAACTGTATCAGTCAACTACAACAAAAAACAACAAAAACAACAAAAGTAAATCAACAACCATGTTTATAACCAAAAAATCATGTATATACAAAAAGTACCGATAAACTACAGAAAAGCTAAAGCTCCAGTACCTTTCCAACAACACTCCTCAACTTCTCAACTTTATCATTCAACAGATCAATGCGCGCCGAAGGATAATAACTCGGGTTAGGCTGTTGCTCCGTATTCTGAGGATAAGGTCGTTTAGACTATTGCTCCATATTCTGAGGACAAGGCGGAGACGCAAAGACAGAATTATCAGTGTGAAAGGCAGGGACCTCCCCTGATGCAACATCAGCAGCATTAACTTCAAAAAGCGTGGTGATGTTCAGAGTTGACATCTCTTCACGAGTAGGGGAAATGTTCCTATAGTTCAACTACAATAAGAAAAACTGGATTACAACAGTAGAAAAAGGAAATTATGACATATTCATAAGTATACATACTTACAGAAAAACTGAAATCATATATGAAGAAGTATTATGGTACAAAATGTTTACCTTGTCGATACTAGACATGATTACCCCGCCAGTCAAATCCGCATATGTTGGAGTTTCATTGACTTTCCAATTAAGAATGCGTGGCACATTTGTGCCAACGCGAATAGCTAGATGCTTGTCAACCATATAGCAACACTCAAAAAACCATATTTGTAATGCAAGTGGCAAACCTCCGAGCCTATACATTGTCAAATAGTCACATTGTTTGTCCCTCATTGTCTTCAAAATATCTTCAAATGACTTTTTTCCCCAAGCATATGTGTGACATTGACCACTTTCAATGATATCAAAATCATCTTTGTTGATACCATGATTATTGGCATCTGAGAATATGCAATGATGGACAAACGCCATCAAGGCCATCTTGAACGCATCTTCGTCCGACTTCCAGTCCTTTTTCTTGAAGCGATCAAGAAGCTGCCCCCTCGATATAGCCTTTTTTCCATCTCCCGGAAAATACTCTTTTAGCAACCTATTGACATCTGGTTTGTCATAGAATGTGGCGTCTTCTTCTACACACTTCAGACCAGTGATAACAACAAACGCTCCAATGCCAAAACGCAGCAAACAACCATTAATTTTAACCCACAACTCCCTTTCCCATCCTGGGATGACTTCCCTCAATAGTATATAATGAATAAGTTGATTTTGAATTTTAAATTGAGGGAGGTCCAAGAAGTACCCAAAACAACTAGCACGGAACATTTGAAGTTGCGTGTCAGTCAAATATTGCTTCAACATGCTCACAATATCAGTCTCGGTATGGGAACTAATCCTGTTGTGGAAATGATCAACTGGTTGTATATAGAAGTCTCCAACCTTGCATATGGAAAAATAACAAGAAAGAAATTAGGAACAAAAATTATACTAAAATATTGTATAAAATGTATAAATCAGTGTAGCAGTACTTGTATAAATATGTATAAACAACTGTATAACTTTGTATGAAATTGTATAAGCATGTATAAAATTAATAGCAACACAGGGAATACCTTCAGCTTAGCTTTTCTCTCGTTCAATTTGCAGCGAATAGCAAACCTTTGTTCTTTGGATATGCAATCAAGACCACTCTCACCATCGTCCTTGATCTTTCTCTTTTTCGGTTTAACAGTGGGACCTACATCATCTTCATTAACCAAATCAACTTTCAGCTTTTCTTTTGATTTTTCATGTCTCCCACATTTCTTACTCCTTATTCTAACAATGTTAACTGGAGTAGGAGTATTACTCGTTTGTGAACGAGTCATTCGACTGCTCTCTTGTTGCAACTTTTTTGTAGGAGCAGGAGACTAAAAATCATCATCATCGGGAGCCTGGACATGCGCATTCGCTTCAGAATTAGGGGTTGAGGGCAAGTCCCTCAATGATTTAACTGGAGTAGGAGTATTCTTCGTTTGCGAACGAGTCATTCGACTGCTCTCTTGTTGCGAATTTTTTGGAGGAGCAGGAGACTCAAAATCATCATCATCTGAGGCCCGGACATGCACATTAGCTTCAGAATCAGGGCTTGAGGGCAAGTCCCTCAATATTTTCGCAAAATCGAACTTAACACCTTTTCCAACAACCTTCATACGACCTTTAGAAGCAGGTATTTTTGAACGCATTTTCTACAATAAAACAAACAAAGCTTTAGCAAAAGTGAAGACAAGTGAAGGAAAACACAAAAATCAAACAAAAAACAAAGGTCATGAACACAAAGCAGAGGCCAATTTTTTCAAATTGTAACAAAACTCAAAAAATAAATTCTACCCTAAAAGTCGAAATAACAAAGCATGCAAACTGGAACATCAAGTTTAGGCCCAGAACGAAGATAGAAGGAACACAAAATCAAACGAAAAACACAACAACATTGTAAAGAAAATATTCAAAATCAGAAAAGCAAAAAAATTAAAAATAAAACAAAATTTAAAACCAAAACTGTGGTAAAAGCATAAAATGAAACGAAAATTACCTGAAAATAAGAGTGAAAGCTCGAAAAATTACTTGAGACCCAACAGTGGAGGACGATTGCCTTCGTCTCTGAGAAAAGCGTGAGAAAAAGAGAGAGAAAGAAATTTAAAAGCGAAAACCGTTGATTTAATATTTGTTGGCTACCGGGTAAAAACTAAATTTCAAAACATATACAATCTGGATTAAACTAGGTAAGAACTTCAAATGTAAGCTACTTTCAAATGGGTTGTATGGTCCAAGTGATATATGATGTAATTTCTTCATTCTTTTATGGGTCAACTTAGGTCAATTTGAGCTACTCAAGTAACCAAATTTGACCCGTAAACCTAGTGAAGAAACGACAATAAAAATCTTTTATGTTTTGTTTGTCACACGAATAAGCGCACCCCACAAAACTTAAGCTCGACAATAAAAACACCCTAGTCTACTGCAAATTCTTTTGTTCTTTTTCTCCTTTCCTTTCCTATTCTTGTTTAATTGAAAGTGAACATCAGAAGCTATGAGCAATGCTCCCTCCAGCAGAATCTGAAGAATGGCCATTGAAATCCATCATCCCCAAGCAATCTTGAATCTCATTATCCCATTTCATTAATTGATCCCAGAATTCTTCTTCTTTTCCAATACCAGCATCTGTTTTAATTCCCTGCTCTAACTGTACTGGCTCTTGTTCTTGCTGGGGCAAAGAAGATATTGAAGTGGTTATATTCTGCTGTAACTGAACTGATGTATAATCTGCAAACGAGAAATTAAGCTTAGCTCTAGGACCTCTAAACTCAATAGCAGCTTTATCATAAGCTCGAGCTGCATCCTCTGCTGTATTAAAAGTCCCAAGCCATACTCTAGTCGCCCTTCTTGGATCTCTAATTTCCGCAGCCCATTTTCCCCATGGTCTTTGTCTCACTCCTCTGTAACTCTTCTTCTTTTTCTTGGCCTTGTTATTATAATCATCATCAGCAACTGGGCCGGCTCCAAAATAGTTGCAACCTAAACACCCTTTTATTTTACAGAATCGACATGGCTCTGGTTCTGTGGAAACGCGAAACAGAGGAGGATCTAAACTTGACACGCTCGTAGATGGTGAAGACGATGAAACAATGGTGGCACTATTTGTGGTCATAGAATATTGAAATTCTTGAGTTGTATCACCTGTTATAACATTCTTTAACGCAGAAACCATGATGGAAAACTCTTGTTCGTCTGTGAACTTTGGCTTTGAAATTAGATGGTTGATTGAAACAGTTTCCTCTTGTTTAGCTTTCTTGGTTGACCTCTGCATTTTTGAAATTTGTAAAGGTGGAAACTTTGGTCTTTGGGTTTCAGATTGTTTTCTGGTTTTGAACTTCTTTACTTTATATACAAGGCAGGGATGTGAACTAACAACAACGTGGATAAAAAGGTTACTATAATACACTTTTTGTACACGGGGTTTGACTTTAGCTTAGCTGGCATATTAAAATTAATTGGTTTTGGGGGCACGTGGGATTTGGATGGTACGTTTATGATGAGGTGGCGGTTATACGGGTCGGGTTTCGGTAATACTTGATGACATGGCAGGGGAGAGAAGTGTTCACACTTCACATGGTGATTGTCAATTTCGTGGATGGAGGAGGTGGACAGCTTTTGCCTTTTTAGGCAAAGGACGGTTATAGAGGATAAGAGGAAAGGAATGATGTAATCACTTACACAAATGAGAGGGTATTTTTGGAATTATGGGAGACATTAGACAAGACTGGGGACCGTTGACGGTCAAATAGTTCGTCCTGTCGCTTTGAAGCAAAGTAGACCAAACAGCTTCATATCTACAAGGCAATTGAATTAGCAAAAAAGGAAAGTATACAAGGCAAATCAGAATCGGATATAGAATTATTAAAATGTGGATGCACTACTAAAGAAAAGAAGATAAAAAATATTAAAGTGGGAATTGATCCCCCTTCCTTTGGGTAAATAACTCAAAATCTATATCTATATATATATATTAAAGCAAGAAAGTTGCCATATATAATTAACATTATGGTTAAGCCAAGCGGCAAGCTAATAAATGTCAATAGTATATTGTAACTTTATTCTATATTTGATTATTTTAGTTAAAGATAAATATAATATATATATATATATATATATATATATATATATATATATATATGTATGTATGTATGTATGTATATATATATGCGGAATTTGAATTAAAAGATAATTTTGAATTTATAGATAAAGTTCTAAAATTCGAATTTAAATTAAAAATAAAATTTATCTTTTTTTTATCATGTTATCATACTTAATTCGGTGAATGATCATATGCAATCATGTTAGAAATTTTTGTTATTTTTCTAATTATTTAAATACTACTTTGCCTCTAGCAAAAAAAAAAAAAAAAAAATACTCCATATAACTATAAAACNAAAAAAAAAAAAAAAAAAAAAACTATTCCATATAACAATAAACTCTTTCACATTTAAAATCCTATAAGTATAGTTCTTTGAAACACTATAGCTAGATTTGAATAAAACAAAATTCTTTTAAAATAAATATAATAAATAGGGTACACGTCTATGTTTATATAAATAGCAAAAAGGAGTTTACAAAACCAAATAAAAGTTTACTTACATATATAATAAAGTAAACATACATGCTGGAGAAATCAACATCACAAAATCAATCAATATTAAAAAAAAAAGTTGTTTCTTTTTTCTTCTTGAAGAATATTTGTTTGAAGAGTCAATTTGCATAAATGGACATCAAACAAATAACAAAACTTTAGCTATACAATTGCTATCATTAATTTCAATTTAGCATATTCAAGGAATTGAATGATATAAACTGAAACCCTTCATTTAGTCAAGCCAATATTGCAAGGGTATAATACTTTTTTCGTTGAAGAATATTAGTTTTGAATCATTGGATTATGTGAAAGGTTTTTTTTTTCAAACTCAACAAGAGAGAAATTGGTTTTAATTGATAGTTTATATAGCGACTTTTAAGTGTAACAAAGAGTATATATAAAGAAAATTTTTATATGACGTGGAATATTTTTTTTTTAAATGTAAAAAAATTATTTCGAAAAAACTCTTATTTTTAATTCAAAGATAATAAAAAGATAAGATATTTTTAGAACATTAGTAGAGAGTTTTAAAATTATTATAATAGAAGTTATATCATGGATAACTCAAA